TTGCACTTAAATCTGAACTACACCGGAAGTTACATTTATGCACCGTGTAATGTAGGGAGACAAGTTCCAATGTTTTTCCTATGAATGTCCAAGTGTATCAACATCATTTACTGAAAAATCATTTTTTCTCCTCTACTCTTTAGTAAAACCTTTGACATAAATCAAATGTTCATATGTACGAGTCTCTTTCTGTACTCATTTTTCCCTCCCCCCGTTGGTCAATTGATCTACAATTGCACTAATTCCTATACTACTCTAATTACTCTAGCTCTGTAAAAAGTATTGATATCCTATTTTCTAACTTTTCTGGCTTATTTCTTCTTCACATTGTCTTCACTATTTTTGCCCTTTGCATTTGTGTGCAAATTTCAGAATCAGCTTGGCAATTTCTAAAAATAATATTGATGAGATTTTGACTGAGAAGGTGCTGAATCTATAGATCAATTGGGAAGAACTGGCATTTTAACAATATTGTATCTTCTAATCAACTGACAAGGTAAATATCTGCATTTATTTAGTTTTCTTAAATTTAATATGCAATTAGATATTTGCTTAAATACAATTGTCATGGCTATATTTTTTCATTTTTAAATTTTATTTCTGGTATAAAGAAATACACTGGTTTCATATTCTTTGCATTCAGTGATTTTGCTGAGTTCATTTATTAATCCTAGTAATTTACCTGAATGATCTTTTGGATTACTTTCATATATAATCAGACCATTTTGAATAATGTTCATGTTTTTTTATTTATGATCAGTCTTTATACTATTTTTTCTCCTTGAATTATTACACTGGATTGGATCTCCTGTGCAAAATTAAATAGCAGAACTGAGTTTAGCCTCCTTGACCCATTTTCAGATGGCAAGGTGAAGAATTTCTATATATTACCATTAAGCAAAAGGTTTGCTGTAGATTTTTTGAAGATTATGAAAACTCCTTTTTATTTTTGCTATTATTTTTTGTTCACTCTTTCTTTTTTTTTTATAAATGAGGGTTAAGTTTTTAAAAATGTTTTTACTGTATTAAGAATATCCTACGCTTCCTTTTATCTTCATATAGAGAAAGTTAAACAAAATTTGTATGCCTAGAATAAATCCAATTAGTTTGTGATATATTATTCTTTTTCAATGTTGCAAGATTAATTTTGCTAACACTTAGTTTAAAAAAATTCTACCTTAATTCATGTGAGAGAATGTCCTAAATTCATATGAGAGAATGACGTTTTTGCAATGATATTGTCCAGTTTTCTTGTCCTTACATGGACCACCTCTTGGTGTGTTTCCATTATCTTCTTATTTTCTTTTTTGTCACTTTTCTTGGTCCACTGGTATTTGTGATTGAATACATACTGAATTTGTAAGGCTTTTCATTGATGTTATTTTCTCTAGATGATTGCCCTTAGTTTTTGGTAGGCAGGCAGATGAAGATTACATAAATACTTTTTGTGTTTGAACTGGTGTAAGGGTGGTTTGCAGCCTTCGTAAAATCTGATATACTAATTTTTATCTTAGTTTTTAGACTGAGTCCTTCAGTGGTGCCAGCTGAAATCCTGGCTTGTTTACCAGAAACCCTCCACACTGAAATCCAATTTTTATCCAGCACTGAGAACTGCCAATAGTTCTGCATAGTTTTCCAGCCTTGTAGGAGCAGCTGTTTTATCAAGCTTCTCCATCTCTTTGCTTGAAACACTTCTGAATCGATGAATGCCTTGAGGGGAAAGTAGCTCAACTGTTAAGCTCCCCTCTCTGTGCTTCTTTTCTCTCCAGGATCTTGTGCTCTCAATTACTAGCCACTTCGGTAGTGCTGAATATTATTAAAGTTGGCAATCTCAAAGATTGTCAAAATCTCTATTCAGTAATTTTGTCCTTTAGCACTAGTGTCTCTTGACTTCTCATCCTTTCTGTTAACCACACTTATGAACTGTCAAAGGCTTGAAAAGAAACATGGCACAGGCTATTAAGCTCACTCTAATGACTACCTCTTTTGTGCAGAATATTGGCCACTCAAGTCCTAGCTGTCTTGGTAGCTCTCAGATGCCTTCAAACAGACTTTTTTCCCCCTTAATCCACATGATCAAGTTGTTCTTGGCCAGAGGATTGTTCTGCTACAAGCTAGTCCATCACAATCTGAATCAATATTAACAAGATTTGAATAAGAATATTACCTTGGCGTCATTTATTAGCTACTTTCTTGCCTCTAAACATTAGTTTCTACATTTATAAGACTTCACTAAGCTTTCAAGAATTAGACATCTATTTTCAACCTAAATGTCAATGGTCTTGGAGTCCCACTTGACTCCAAGAAATTAGTTTGTCATATTGTGAAATCCCACTGCTCCCTGTCTAGCTTCTGAATAGAGAATTCAGATTTTATTAAGGACCCTTCTATAATGTTGGGTCAACTTCCTTCAGACAGGAATAAGTCCTTCACAAGCACGCACACACACACACACACACACACACACACACACACCCTAAGCACAGACACAGGCAGTACCACCTCTAAACAACTAAGAACAGAATATTAACATGTATGTATATGTTGGAATATCAGATAGGAATTTCAAAACAGTAAAACCAACAATCAAAATAGCAGTTGCCAGATTTCCTATCTCCTATCCTCAAGAAGTCTCCTCTCACCCTTGTCTCTCTTTGGGCTCCAACCTACAGCTCTGTTGCAGTAGCAGCTCTTTCCCACCATGGACTGACCTTGACCATGCCTTTTCTATACAATGAGAGATCTCAACTCCCCTCAGAACCACAGACATGAACAAAGAACCTTTCCTAAGAGGAAATACAATGTTGGAACACAATCTCATACATTGAAAAAAACGTAACCTTTTATATTATTTTTAGAACAAATGTCACTCCTATGGAATCTCAATTTTACAAGTCTCCATTTTTATTTCACCTAAATTTCTGGAACCCATTCTACTAAGTGAAGTATCTCAAGAATGGAAAAACAAGCACCACATGTACTCCCCAACAAATTGATATTAATGGATCAACACCTCAGTGGACATACAAGAGTAACATTTATCGGGTATCGGGCAGGTGGAATGGGGGAGGAGGGCATGGGTATATACAAATACAATGAGTGAGATGTGCAACTTTTGGGGGATGGTCACGCTTGAAGCTCTGACTCAAGGGGGGAGGGGGGCATGGGCAATATACGTAACCTTAACACTTGTACCCCCATAATATGCTAAAATAAAAATAAATAAATAAATAAGCTTTATTACACATACACCCTACCCCAATCTCTCCAAACAAAGGATCAGTCTACTCTCAAAGGTAAATTCAAGTCTCCACTTTCAGGAAAACATTTTAAACATGTAAGGCACAATTTTTGTCCTAGCAAATTTAAAAGGCAATTTTCCCACTGCTGGCCATTGAAATGTCAGTAAACACCAGGATCCTGTCTAAACCAGGGCATCTCTGCATATTATAGGTTTACTAAGAAAGTGAATGAAATAAAACAATCTCACATGAGACATGCAGTGGCTGCTCAAGTGTTTCCCTGAGGTTACCTTGTAGCATCAGCACTCAATCCAGACAGAGCCTCGTGCTCTTATTAAGTGCTGAAATAATCAACGCAAGAACTCACTAATTTTGCAGACCTGCGCTCTTTCCACATTACACTGTTATTAACCTTGGCCACTTACCTGCCAAATGAATGTACTCAGCAAAACACACCCATTCGAAGGGCCTAGAGGCTAAGTCATGTTTTAATGACCTTAATTGTTCATCTGTTTTCCTGAGCAAAGTCGATTGATTCAATGCACCAAAATCACATTCCAGGTCAGAAAACAATTGTTTGACATTAATTATGTGTCAGGATGTGAAAGGCCACGTGGCAGGATCAGTAGTTCATGAATTGACTCTTTTTAACCAAGTTCTAATATCAAGAAAAAAAAAATCCCTGTAGCTATGTTGTTTTGATGTGAATTGGCAAAGATAAATAATTACAAGAACATAATTAAGTACTTGGCTTAAAAAGGGAAAAAAGAGAGACTCCTATGGGGAACACTTCAGTATTGACAAGTAGCAAAACAAAGCATTCCTGCTCATGAACATATGTATAGTCCTGGCTTCTTCAACATGGAAAGTTTTGGCTATGGGGAAAAAACATTTTTTAAGGGGTTAAGAGTATAAGGCACTAAGTAAAGTAGTCTTAGATTATAAATTGGAATCATTTTTAGGATTCATCTGTCCTATTTTGCTCTATTACTTATACAACTTCAGAGTGTAATTTGTCATTTTAAAGATGGAATTTAACGTAATAGGCTCTGGAAACAAGCTGATAGAAGTATAACTTGGCTAACTTAGTTTTTAGCAACTATTAATTAAAAATGGATTGATTTTCCTGCCTTCTTCTTTATTTAGTTTTACTATGCTTAAATATGCCATATTAAGCAAGGTCAGGTGACCTGATGAGCATTCTGTTCCTTAAAAAGATTAGTTTTGTCTTGATGGGTCAGTCCCTGCCCTGTGTTGAGGACATGAGGACCTATGAACAGGTGGCTCCTTTAGCCCTGGGAGGGAAGAGTTGTAATCATCTGTCCATTGAGCTCAATATTTTCTATAATGCAAATATGACAAAATGGATCAAACCAGACATAGGTTGAAGAAAACAATCATCTAAATAACTAGTTGTAACTGATACCTATTTTCCTTTTAATATTTTTGATAACTGACCAAGGCAAAATGATTGGTATGGTAAGAGAATAAGGTGCCAACTACATTTCTTCATCTATAAAAGGGGAGTATTATGTATGCTATCTTGAGGCGTTATTACAGGGCTAGAGTGTGTGGTGGCAACTAACACAGTACCTGCTTACATTGTGGAAACTGAATTAACACCAGCAGTTATGGCAAGAAAATGCTTATACCAATGATTTATGGCATGCTGATGTTGAGGATCCTGAGGGCAACATTAAGATTTAAAGATAAATTGGTTTCTTCATTAAATTTGATTCAATCTTCTTTTCAGGGCTAAACGCTGGGACTGTGGTGCATAACTCAATAAACTCTACATTTGATCTCCACTTACTCCTGTTTCACAGCCCGTAAGTGTTCCCCAGCAAGGAGCATGTCTGTAGGGCACCTGCTCCACCTTATCCTGTGGTTGGACTATTTAACTATGAGTGGTGGGTCTCATCTTTCTTAGCTTTTACAGTTCCCATCAGGGATGGCAAATAGATTTCAAAGTATAATGCAACTGCTCCCTAGAGAATTGATTTGATAAGAATTCTAAGGCAAAATCTAGGGTCAGTAAACAAAAGTCAAATGGCAATGAATTGCTTGGTTATAAATAGGAAAGGGACACTATGACTGAAACATGTTTCTCATTCCAAATCTATAAGGTTATTTACACATATTTGAGGTTACTCAAAAAGTGTAATATTTTTCAATAGGCCAGCAAGCAGCAAATTTTTGAACAGGACATAATCCATAACATAATTTCAGCATTTTCTTATTTATTATCTTTCATTTTAGCTAAAAATCAAAGAGCAATACAAGTTTACATTAGTTTTATTGAATGAAATAGATTACTTGTTGTGCAAAGAGTCATTAGGTAATTAATTATTGTAGCCTACTTGTTTCAGTTTTAAATAATTTGCATAAAATAGTATATGTCTTTTTTCAGATTTGGAGGGGTAGTGTATGTTCTGATGGATGTGTGAATATCCATAAATATGCAGATATATTCCAGTTATTTACCTTTTATTGTAATGGGCCTCACTCATTTGGAATCACTTAAATGAAAATATCAGTTTGTCTTTTCTGCAGATAGCAGTTAAGAGAATAAACAGATGAATCAACTCTTTGTAGGATACTTATCAGTCATTTCAGCTTTGGGGGTGTTTCCTATTGTCATTATTTCTGTAAGGAACTTGATGATTCTATTAAGTTTAATCAAATACTTATCAGGTCTGTTCAGAAAGTATCCAGCCATTGTAAATATAATGAAAACAGCTTTCATGACACCAATGTCACCTGGCAGCCAAGGAGAGTGGACTGAGATGCACATGCGTGAACAGTGACGACTGCACTAGACGCCACTGAGTGAGCATGTGTACAGTGTGCCCATCGCATTCAACATGACTGAGTGAGTGGAGCAATGAATCTGAATCAAACTTTGGGTTCAGCTTGAACATTCCTCTACGGAAACTATTCGGATGATTCAGAAGGCTTTCGGGGATGATGCAATGAGTGCAGCACAAATAAAAGTGTGGCATGAATGCTTCAAAGATGGTTGAGAATCTGTTGAAAGTGATCCATGTTCTGGAAGACCTGCAACAAGCAGAACACCTGAGAATGTTGAGCATGTACAGGCTGCAATCAACAAAGATTAGTAACTGACAGTGCCAGAACTAGAAGCTGGTCTGAGGTTTCCAAAAACTACTGTGTCTGAGATTTTGATGCAAGGATCTTGGCATGAAACAAACATGTGGCAAAATGTATTCCATGGCTTCTGCCACCAGAGAAGAAGGAACATTGTGCTGCATTTGCTAATGACTTGCTTTAAACAGCTACCAGTGAACTAGATTTCCCAAAGATGGTTGTAACTGAAGATGAATTATGGTTCTATAGCTATGATCCAGAATTGAAGGCACAGTTGTCCCAGTGGAAGTTGCCTGGTTCTCCACACCCTCAAAAGTCACAGCAAGGTGAAGACCATGTTAACTGTGTTTTTTGGTTGGGGAGGTGTTGTCCATCACAAGTACGTTCCTCCAGGCCAAGCAATTAATACGGAGTACTACCTCAATGTTCTTCCTCTGTTGGGAGATGCAATGAGATGAAAACAGTCCACAGCTGTGGACAACTAATGATTGGCAGCTTCATCATGAAAGCACACCTGCCCATGCATCACGTCTCTTGCAGAGTTTTTTGACAAAATATTAAATTATCCAGGTGATCTAGGCCCTCTACAGCTCAGATTTGGTGCCCTGTGACTTCTGGCTTTGCCCAAAACTAAAATCACCTTTGAAAGGGAAGAGACTTAAGATGGTCATTGAGATTCAAGAAAATACATAAGGCAGCTGATGGCAATTCCAACACAGGCTTTTGCAATGTTTTGAACAGTGGAAGAGACACGTGGAGAACTATGTGAAGTCCCAAAATGCCTACTTTGAAGGGGACTGAGGTGTCATTGTCCTATGCACAATGTTTCTTGTCTGTTGTATCCTCTTCAATAAATGTCTCCATTTTTCATATTACCTAGCTGGATACTTTCTGGACAAAACTCGTATATTCATTTTTCTAACAATCTTCAGTTTTAAATTTTTCTTTAGGTTACCTTTCCTCTAAAAATCATCTGTATATGTCATAGTTTGAAAGATTAGTTATTGTTCTGAACATAAAATCAGAGTGAGGTGAGGAATAAAAAACATTTTAACGCTTTGTTACATAACGCATAATGAAGCCTAGAATGAAGATACTTCTTAATATGGTTCAAAATTAAGTACCTTTCATTAAGAAAATGCTTTGTAACAATTTTTTAAGCAGGGTGAGCATCACTACTTAATTACAGGAAAAGTAGAAGATACAGCAGATTGAAAGAGAATAATATAAATATTTAACCATCATTACAATTTTTGAAGCTGTTTTCTGAACACATTTAGTAGGTGATCTTGAAAAATGTACTTTCAAAACTAAGATGTCTCGCATCAGTCTATATTTATTATTATTATTATTGCTACTACTTTAGGTACAAGAAGATAATAAAGTTTTCCTCCTGGGCATAAATTTTGTATATATTATATTAAAGACATGGAGATATACATGTAGCCTCAAGAACTTTAAAATTAACTAGTTATTACTAAGGCAGTTAGTTTTCAGTATTTATCCTCATAGTTTAAGCTAATTTAAATTGAGCTTAAATTAGTGTTTTCAAAGAATGTCTAATCAATCATCTATCATAATTCTTTCATAGCAACATCTCCTCATTTGAGAGAGAACTTAAACACCAATACATGGCTGCTAAACATTAATATTTTCATATGAGAATATTGAACTACAACATATAGAAAAATATACATATTTTTTCTTACACCACCTGCATTTATTAAGCACTTATATACTGGCTGTTGTGCAAACCTGTATGATAAATACAGCTATTATATGCAGTTTTGATTAAACAAAACAATACTAGGTGACTGTAAATGATAATAGAGGTTTGTCTGAAACTTGTATTTTAAGGACCATAAACCTGAAGTTTCTTTCAGTTGAAGACACTGAAAAAAAGATGATTCTCTGAATTAGGAGTCGAAAGACCTCATTTTTAAATCACCTCTTTCTAACTGTGTTAACTTAGATAGCCTACTTAACCTTAGTTAAGTTTTATCAACTTTTTAATGATACTTGTACCCTTTTGATCTTGATATGGATGTGGTAACTACTTGAACAAAAGTGTTTTCAAAGTAGTTGGCCTGCAATAGGGACTTCACAATTTCATTCCATTCTTGGCACAGACAGGATCGTGGCACAGAACAAAAAATATCTGTCTGAGATCATCAGGGGGTCGACCATATGATCAGAAAACCTTATTTGTGTAGGTCATGTGACTGCTTTATTATTTGGTCACATAGAGTTTCTTTAAACAATTAAAAACACGATTTGCTCCAAAACAGATATTAGTCATCACCATCATTCATTCATATAAAAACAAAGAGGACTCCTCTAAACAACAGGTCACTGTTTTTTATTGATGGCGTCAGAAACTTTTGTTTACCAAAGTCATTCGAGAGCACATTGAGATGTATTCAGCTTGGGCATTCACCGCTGACCACTGACAGAGATTTTCATTTTCCATACCAGCAGTTTCAGAAAAGTCAATGTACTCTCATGCAGCTACCGAGAGAGAAAACATTGCCTCAAAAGTTTCAGGATAATTTTATATTTAATTTACATATCTCTAACATGCTGTGGGTGTTTTGTCTTCTTGTTGGTCAGCGTTTTTCTCTCCGCTCAGTTTCTTTAGAAATATAGTCACACAGATGCTTCGTATTTCGGATGTGCTCTTGGGTGTGTGTGCATTAAATATGGGAGATTTTTCTAAAGTTGAGGCTTTGTGTCCGCAGAATAGTTGAGCAGTTTCTCAAAGGCTGTAACTCCATTCGGCTCCTGGTAGTTCAGCAGTGGGAAATGAGCGGAATCTCCATTTGCCATCTGCTCTCTCCAACTGGGTTCTGAAAATCTGAGCTTCATGAATAAACCAATGGTAAGCATTTTTTTTTTTTCAGTTTTTAATGCTGTGTCTTCAGATTTTTATAATATTAGCCCAAAAGGTTAAATGTTTCGGAGTCATTGGGAGTCTCAGAGAACACTGCAACATCAGAAAGTTCCTGATCTGAGAGAGATACTCAAGAGAAAAAAACAAGTAGCTCCGGGTAGTCTGAGCTATGTGAGGCATGTAAAATTTATCAGGCCCAGAGACACATGAATGCAGGACTTCAGTCACATCGCTCCCTGACCCCCAGTGCCCTGACAATTGTTTAAAGGCATTTTGTTCCAGACTAGCTGCCTCACTCACCCATTTCCTTCATGTTCCTGGAATTTATCATACAAAGAACAGTGCAAAGCCAATCAATAGTTCATGTTATTTTAATGTAAATTATTGGTAAACAACTTAGGAAGTGCCTCTTCTTTTCCATTAAAACTCCACTCATAACTGCTGTTTCAGGCAACTGGAGTCTATGCTCCAGGCGTGCTGGAATCTACTCTCCCAGGTTGTAGTCCTCAAATTTGATCCAAATAAACTTTCTACTTATATTATATTAATTTTCCCTCAGTTTTTTTCCTTAGGATAACACATTAAACCAACCTAGCAATTTCTATATCCTAGTCCACTGATTTCACTAAAAAACAACAACAACAACAACAAAAAACCCTCTATACTTTCCTAAAAATTTCTCCATTTTCCCCTAAATCAGGGCTTCTCAGCTGCTCAAAGCTGTTTCTATCAAAATAGGAGATCTATTTTGATTTCCTCCCACACAGTGATTGAGAACCCCCAAAGCCAAGCCATGTCCTTGACATGCCTTGGCAGAAAGGTAAATCCTCAGGTATACCTTCAGGTGCAGTCAGGAAATCTCTTAGAAATCTCATATTTTAACTTATTCTAATTCATTCATTATTTTTTTTCATTCTAACATGTCATTTATTTGTTTTAATATATTAACAACGGTTTTTAAGCAGCTGTTAAGTCACTTAATTTTATTTCTCCTACATCTCTTGAGATTTTGTCAACTTTCAGGAAGGTGTCTCCTATCTTTCCCCAAGCATATATTCATCTGTCATCTACCCCCCATCCTCGCCCTCTGCACACCACTGTGTACTTCCTGTCATACACGTAAGCTCATTTTAAGAAGTAAAACCATGAATTTTTGTCGTTTGAGGGCATAAACATGAAGAATATTTTTCATATTGATTACTTCCTTCATTTCATCAATGACCTTGATTTGCAAAGTTCAGATAATAATCTCTCTCGACAAATGAATTGAAATGTAGGTAGATCAATCTTCCCTATGACTTGAATAAACATTTTAAATGTTCTGTTTTCTAAACACTGCTGTCATCTTAGGGGCCACACTGATGGCAAATGACCTGATCATTTCCGTGTTTAAGACAAAAGTCTCAAATTCCTTCCCACAAGTAGGTAGGGCTCACTAGTTTATAAATACTAACTAATTATTTTTAAAGTGTTTCATGATTTGAAATTACTTCAGGAAGTCAGCACATTGGGATTGAGGCAGTTGGGCACAGTTTGACTGGCAGGCTGCATCTTGGGTGAACTTTGGGTGTTAGAAAAAATTTTCAGTTAGAAGATTCAAGTTTTGTCAATGATTAGCTGTGTGATTTTAGAAAAATGTGTGATATCTTTGAGTTTCAATTATCCCATTCATAAATTTTAGGTGATAAAATCTATCCTGTTCTCCTCAATAGATATCATGAGGTTGAAATGGGGCATTCCTATTTCTTTCCAAGCCTAAAATATAGCTATGTGAAATAACATCTATCTATCTATCTATCTATCTATCTATCTATCTATCTATCTATCTATCTGTTAATGTGTGAAGTGTAGTTCAGGATATTAGTCATTGATTAAACAATAATGCCTCTGAATTACTTCTAAATTAATCCTTCCTCTAGGAGAACAAAGTAGTCAGTGAAAAGGATTTACTGGGTTTGAATCTGCATGCACCATTTTCAAACTGTGTAGCCTTAAGCAAGTCTCCCGAATTCCCTAGCCTTCAGTTTCCTCACATGTAGATGTATCTAACAATAACAATACTTACCAATTGGAGATATGCTAATCAATTATGATAACATGCACTACAGTGACTGGCACAGAGTAAATCCTTAATAAACAGTAACCATTGACATTGAAAGATAGTAATAGCAATTATAGTAAAATGGTATCCATGTTTTTGAGAAATAAAGATCTTTTGTTTTTTCAAGACCAAATTAAAACATTACTCTTCTCATAAAGATAATTAAATGCTGTTCTCATAATCAAACAAGAGTGGGAGTCCCAGGGAGAAAATGAGTCATCATATTGAATTAGGGATAGAAACATTGTCTTCAAGGTATAGCGATAAAGATATAGAATCGTGCATTTCCAGCCTACATCTATAATACATTAGAGGGAAACTTTTGTTCCTAGAAAGCAAGTGGAGGTAACTCAACACATGAAGACCGTACTTGCAGCAAAGGCAAGAGCAAAGTTCAAGGCACTGATGGCACAGAGCCCCAGATCTACTGTCCACCCCAATTCAATGGTGACTTACTCTATTGCTTCCTGCAATAAAATATGTTTGTATAACATCTATAAAAGATACCCAGAACATAGAGTCCTTCTTCAGTTCCTCTTTCCTAAGGAACTGGCAAGAATCCATAACCAGTAGAATTAAGCAAACTTTATCTGAGCTGAATCCTCTGCTGTTCTTGTTTCAATTGATCACTTAGGGGGTTCTACTAATATCCTCAGGATCCCTCTTGCTAAATTTTGGTCTTGGCTTATGTATTTGCTCAAATATTTATTAACTGGGAGATGGAAGATAGAAGAAATGAATTGCTCCTGTAATATCTCCGAAAAACTATCCCTTTACCCATGAATTGCTGCCACTCTTTGGCATTCTCAATTGGGTGTAATGTTTCAAGATTCTCTGCAAGAATCAATATCCATCTGCTCCCCATTAAGGAGAAAATTGTTGTGATGGCTAACGCCCCTTTACTGGGAAAACTCTTCCTCCTGCCTGAAGGTGAGAGTAACACCATCTTTCATTTGCATATAGAATGACAACAGTTTAACATCACTTTATTAACTATTTTCTTGGGAAATTCAGTTGAATTTTAGTGTTAAATTATATGATATGTAATATTGATTGGCTTAAAGAAAGCTAACATTGATATTTAATATTGTGTCTAAGAAAACAGCTATGGACAAAGTCACACCATATAGTAATGACAGGTCCTAAGCTGAGGGGTGTGCCCAACCACTGGCAGCCTCTCTTTTTAATTAAATGTACTGACACACCATAAAAGCCATAAAGCCAAATTCCATGGCATGTTAACCTACTTTCAAGGCCTACTGACTTTTACGGCAAATCTCTGTATCAGGTCAAGGGTGGAATCTTGCTTTTGCTCTATTTCTTATTGTTTAATGTTCTCTGAGGTAAGTCCTCTCCCATGTCGGAAGCTGTTATTGCAGATGTAAGATGTAAAATATAAAGGGACTTTGATGGCTTCAGCAGGATCTGAAATTTTCTGAGCGAGATCTATTTTGATTTCCTTCTGTGAAGTGACTAAGAACCTGAAATTGCCACTTCTCAGAAACTTGTCAATTTGAACATGAAAATACTTCTATTTTCCCTTAAAAGCACAGTGCCTTACAGGAGAACATGCTGACTTCAACTTAAGGCACTTGAGTTTCTTAAGGGTATTTGCTTAGAATCCTCTTTTTATATCTCACTTGAAGAGACTGGCTCTGTTCAGTCCTTCATCTCAGTGCATTTCTCAGCTTTCTTTGTTTATTTTTCTTTTCATGGGGCCCTGCAATAATTACTCTGTTTACCTCAAGTTATATAGCACATGCTGTATCCATTTTATTCATCCATTTATCAGTGAGTCTGTTTCCTCTGGTGTAATTGTATTGCATGACATATTTTGAAAAGTCACTCTTACTTTCTCCATCTCATGTGACCTGCATAACTCATTGTTTCCACCTCCGACTGCAGTTAGCTTTTCCCTACAACTTTAACTGACTGTGCATTCAAACTGGCGACCCATTCTTAGCCATGTATTTTTCCAATACTCCATTCGCAGTAAAAACCACCAGTTGCTTTTGAAATGATCTTTGAAACAAAACAAATAAAGCAAAAGCTATTACCAATGTTAAATGTCCACCAGAAATAAGGAAGCGTTGGCACCCGGCTTGACTTTATTAAGTCTCTTATGTGAGTTGCTGGCTCCAGGAACATCTCTCCTCTGTTACTACCCAAGCCAACAAAATGGATATGCTGCAGCTGTCTACTCTCTTTCTATGTAACTAAGCTCTGAAACAAATTTCTCACAAGTTAAGCTAACATTTGAAGCCAAAATCATATCTAGAATAACTTGATAGGCAGTGTGTAAAATGTTTCACCCTCCAGCCTCTGTAAGTATAAGATGACATCTAGGCAGGGCTGGAAGATGTCGGATAAACTCCATGCCTTCCTTCTCCAGAACTACTGCTGCCTCCCTATTCTTCTCCCTCTACTTCTATCTCACTTTCTCTCTCCTGTCTATATTTTTGTGATTCCTATTTGCAGAGTACCTCATATCCCCCCATTTCTCTCAATGTTTTTATTTTTTTTAATATTTTAGTCCACCAACCAATTTTTTTTCTTTTTTCTTTTTTCTTCCCAATTATGACCATAATCTGAAACTCAAATATATTTTGGAGATTATTTCTTTCTTCTTCTTTTTTTAAAACAGAGATAGGACTCTTATAATTTTGCCCGGGCCAGATTCAAACTCCTGGGTTCAAGCGATCCTCCTGCCTTCTGAGCAGCTGGGACTACAAATGCATGCCATCACTCCCAGCCACTATTTTAGAGATTTTTTTTTTTTTAATACTTAGTGAAAGTAATTTTAATTCTTCATTCTAAGACAGTGAGTTGAATATGTTCTATTTCTTTAAGGAAACATTTCAACAAGTTTGCCTTTTTTTTTTATAATGAACTGGGATTAAAGACTATGCATTCCAAAGTAGAAAGAGTATGGACTTTGGAGGAAAAAAGTACCAAGTTGGTGTTCAAAGTCTGTTATATATTGTTCTTAACCTCTGTGGGCCTCAGTCCCTTCACCTGGAAGGTAGAGATAATAAAAATATTTATCTTGGAAGGATGTTACAAGGATTAATGATATAATTCTTTCAAGGCAACTGGCAGATCATAGGGCTCAGTAACTAAACATGCTATTATGACTGACCCTGCAACCTCACCCCCACTCTAGGGTGGACCCTCCGAAGACAAAGCACATTTGCTCCTCAGTCTCACATACATACCTCTCCCTGTTTATTTCCTTAAATGCCAGAAGGAAGATCATGGCATCTCACTTTTCATTTTTTGTCATTTAGAAGTAGTAATGGCCACAATAGCAGTAGAGTTTCTTAAGGAAATGCCCCTGGACTCCAAGAAGACACCCTAATTTTTCAGCAGGTGACAGACTCATCTCTAGAGCTAAGACTAATAAATGCTGCATCCACACTACTGGATACAGATCAAGGTGTTATCCAAGGCCCAATTTTACAGAGGAGATATATTAATAGTTCAGATACTAATTGAGTCATGTACTTTCATAAATACACTATATCTTTTCTTCAAAAAGGATAATGATAGTAATACCTGATATTTTAGTGAACTTGTAACTAAAGACATCAAACACGCTAGGTCTGTGTTTTGGAAATGAAGAAGCAAGCCTGCATTACTTTTCCATTACTACTAAGAAAGTCAGCAATGAGTACAGAAAACACATCCTGTTTAATCCCAGTGTATTCTTTTTATCTATGTATTCAGATTGTTCCTTTGATAATTGTCATGACTGTATGGCAACTGTGAAATAAATCAGTCTAATTCCATTTGGAATATATCAGATTCTAAGCCTAGATATTATGTACAGGAATGTTATCATATTACACAATAGTATTGTAAAAGGAAATGGAAGAGATAGATTTCCTTCTATTAGCTCTGCTTCAAATTTGCCACATGAATTTTAATTATCTTAATGTTGTACATTGATGGCAATGCTTACACATAATTCATAAATCTCTTTCAAGACAGGGTATTTTGTATCTTGAGCAAGATGACAAATTCCACCAGAAGAGGCTATGATTTTGGGGGGTATCTCCAGCAGAGTCTATATATTAATTTTAATGGATGATTAATACCATCATGTTATCAGAAGGTGAAAGTAGCCATATAGAATATGTGTTCATCTGGGCCAATTTTTTTCCCAGAGCTTGACATTTCTGGCATTTGAGGCAGAGCGTTTATTTCTCAAATTTAAACATGTAAAGGAGCAATGCTGCACAGTGCTCCTAATTAAAATGCTCAAGAAGTCTGTGTTTGTCCTACCCAAGGGCCAACATCTTTGATTTACACTTATAGTGTAATTTGGGGCACAGACAATACCGCCTCTAATCTGGGCAGAGGTGCCAGCCATCCCCTGGAGCCACATTGCAGTTAGCCAGATTTATCCCCAATGTCTTTACGGACCTTTATTGGGGGAAAGGTAGTCTTGATTAATTTACTTACCTCTCACATAATATTTGAGAAAACACTAAAGAAACACGGGATTGTATTGTATTACTTATGCTAGTTTCTCCTGTCCAAAACTGGGCAGTCCAGAACTCTTTAAAATATATCTTCGTCATAGGAATTGTGCAATATTTAAAGGAACACAATGAAGATAAAGCTGATTAACAGAGCATACCTCCGGCTACTGTCCTGACCAATACGAGGTGTTGACTTCCTAAGCCCCAATAGAACCAGGGAAACGAGAGAAAGCATGCAACACATTGACACAGGTAAATGGGGGTTTTGTCTGGCCAACAACGCTATTAAAACAGAACTTCTGTTACGGGAAAAGTGAATCCACGGAGGCCAGTTTTACTATGTGTACTTCCTTGTTCTTGGGGTTGTTGAGCAGTGACAAGATCAGGAGAGGGGTGACACATTCACGGTCATCTCTCAACCAGGCAAACAGTGGTATGCTGTGTTCTGTAAGAGAACCTGAGCATGTGCCAGCTAATTTCCTTTTCTCATGTTTAACGGCACTTCAAGTCCCCACAAAAATTCTATGAACAGCTGGTAAATAATTAAGGTTACCTTTTAACATAAAGACTGTTTTAGAAAATAGATTTGCATTTTCCTTAGGAGCCCTTAAACCACTCTAGGTAGTTTGCAGATAAATAAATTGCAGCTGAGTCATTAAGGGAAAGTTTTAGAAGTTGCTGTTGAATAGCTCCTACTTTTTCCTACTTTCTACTTTCTCCTGCACTGTATGTTTGTGCAACATGCAGAACTGAACTGGCATGGTTTGGAACAACTAGTGCAACAACCTATTAGCGATCACAGTGTTTATATGCATAGTTCCTTTATCCAAGGAGATCTAAATCTTTCACAGGGCCATTAATTCTTATAACAAACATTCCATGGAGGCAAGGAGCAGGTTCTGCTCTCTTGGTGTT